CCCATCTAATTATAGAATGTGGTATTGGTGCAATTTAATGTTGTTTTTAACTTTTAATCCTGAATAATTTTTATGTGGTTACATTCCATAATTGTCTGGAAAATCCTGTGTTTACTAAGGCAACTGCTATTACTAACCTCATTGTCTAAAGCATCATTTCAGGTACTATGGGACATAGAATCAAGAAACTAAACATAAACAGAGAACTTTTAGCTTTCTTAGCAGAGAAAACGGCTGAGAAAACTGTTCTACCATTTGGTACATGTGGTTCTTTTTAGGTTCATTCACCTTTCCTAATTTTCTGAACTTTTGTTTTCCAGTTTTGTGAGTATGTGAAGATAATTATCCGTGATCAGAGAAGTGTTCTTGCTTCAGCAATCTTGGGATTGGCGTCTATAGTCTGCATGGGCCTGGCATCATTTATTACCTCCTGCGATTCTTATACTATAAATATTGTTAAGAAAAATGTGACCTATAACACTATGTTCTGAATAAAAATGTGATTAAAAATCACATAAAATGTTTACTGTATACCAGGAACAAAGGTTTTCTAATCTCACATAGTTCCCTTGTAAAACACCATTCAATCCTTGGAAATCTGAGAGCTTGTGAAAGAATTCAGCTATACAAGAAAATCGTATTCAAGATGATAGCCACAGGAGATTTATTTGTTTGTTTTTTTTTTCTCCAGTAATCATTCTTCCGTTAGGCCTACATATGAAGATCAGAAGACTTATTAAGATCATTCACTTTATTGTAAGTTTATTCTACTTTATTGAAAGACATATTAAACTGGAAACATTTTTCTTCATTCAGGTGAAAACATGCTTGATTAGCCAAAAAAAATCACCAAAATTCAGTTTGTTTTTTCACATATCACATGTACTCCCCAGTAAATCAAGAATATCGTATTCTCATTATATGAAATAAATATTGGCAAAATTAGGTGTAATTAAAAAGTAACTGAACAGAAGTATAAAAATCTGTTTTTTAACCTAAATGACCTCCATTATATATCTAGTCATTATTACATTTGAACAATTTAGTCGGCTTTACTTACAAAGAATTTGTTAATTTTTTCCATTTGTGTGCGTGGCTCAGCAGTGCCGCCACCTGCCCCGCAAGTGCAAGGACCCAAGTTTGATCCCTGATACCCAAAAAGAAAGGGAAAGCAAAGAGGAAGGGAAAGAAGAAAGGAATTTGCAAACCTACCAGTCAGTGCTATGTATGCAACGATAGGAGAACCTAGAAGCATATACAATTCAGTGTTCTAGAAAAGGCATTGAAGGCTCAGCGGTGCCGCCACCTGCCCCGCAAGTGCAAGGACCCAAGTTTGATCCCTGATACCCCCAAAAAGAAAAGGCATTTAAATCTAGTATGAACAGCAAGACTCATTTAAAAATGCAATTGATTTAAATGCTGGCAGTGAAGACAGTGAGCGAGAGATACCTGTCAACATATAGGCAGTGCTACTGAGCATTGTAGTGCCTTCCATTTATATGTCATGTAGACTGCACAACCACCTCAGAGTTACGTGAAGAAGAGGGTAGTCAGGGCAAGGTAAGTGATTTACCTCAGGGCACACAGCCAAGAGAGACAGAGCTGGGACATTCAAACATGAGCCGTTGCTTCCAAGTTAAATTCATTTTTCTAAGAATTAACACATATTAGAAGAATGCATTTGCCAAGGGTAGAATGATATTATTTTATCTTTGTTTCCAGGAGCCAATTATGTGTCATAAAATTGATGGTGAATTTGATTGATTTAGTCAAGGAATGGGGTATGACCACAGAATGAAACTGGTGCTAAACCTTTACAATTCTGAGAATTGTACAAAAGTTATCATTGGTATTGCCAATTTTTAGACTTATGAATTAGAAGAATTGAATCCACCAATAATCATAGGTTAAATTCCATTCTTTTAATTCAAGATACAAGATCCCTTGCCCATCTAATTATAGAATGTGGTATTGGTGCAATTTAATGTTGTTTTTAACTTTTAATCCTGAATAATTTTTATGTGGTTACATTCCATAATTGTCTGGAAAATCCTGTGTTTACTAAGGCAACTGCTATTACTAACCTCATTGTCTAAAGCATCATTTCAGGTACTATGGGACATAGAATCAAGAAACTAAACATAAACAGAGAACTTTTAGCTTTCTTAACAGAGAAAATGGCTGAGAAAACTGTTCTACTATTTGGTACATGTGGTTCTTTTTAGTTTCATTCACCTTTCCTAATATTCTGAACTTTTGTTTTCCAGTTTTGTGAGTATGTGAAGATAATTATCCGTGATCAGAGAAGTGTTCTTGCTTCAGCAATCTTGGGATTGGCGTCTATAGTCTGCATGGGCCTGGCATCATTTATTACCTTTCCTGCGATTCTTATACCATTCTGCTTGTGGATATCTGGCTGACTTCATATATCTGCATCAGTGCATTCTGTATACAAATATGTTTATATTTATAGAGCACAAATCACTATAAATATTGTTAAGAAAAATGTGACCTATAACACTATGTTCTGAATAAAAATGTGATTAAGAATCACATAAAATGTTTACTGTATACCAGGAACAAAGATTTTCTAATCTCACATAGTTCCCTTGTAAAACACCATTCAATCCTTGGAAATCTGAGAGCTTGTGAAAGAATTCAGCTATACAAGAAAATCATATTCAAGATGATGCCACAGGAGATTTATTTGTGTGTTTTCTTTTCTCCAGTAATCATTGTTCCGTTAGGCCTACATTTGAAGATCGGAAGACTTATTAAGATCATTCACTTTATTGTAAGTTTATTCTACTTTATTGAAAGACATATTAAACTGAAAACATTTTTCTTCATTCAAGTGAAAACATGCTTAATTAGCCAAAAAAAATCACCAAAATTCAGTTTGTTTTTTCACATATCACATGTACTCCCCAGTAAATCAAGAATATTATATTCTCATTATATGAAATAAATATTGGCAAAATTAGGTGTAATTAAAAAGTAACTGAACAGAAGTATAAAAATCTGTTTTTTCACCTAAATGACCTCCATTATATATCTAGTCATTATTACATTTGAACAATTTAGTTGGCTTTACTTACAAAGAATTTGTTAATTTTTTCCATTTGTGTGCCCCTATGTATAACACTG